AGTTAATTTAAAGTGAAGAATTACCCAGCGTGAGTAACACACGTGGATTTGTGTTTTAAAAGATTTAACTTTTGTTTAGTGGAGTCGTGAAGGACAACTAAATTGTTTTCAAACCAACCAGCAATTTTGACTATCTCCATTACAATTGAGCGTTGTGCATCCATGTAGCTTTTTTTGAGTTCCTGATGCTGCTCGTTCAGATCGGTAAGATTTGAGTTACGAAAACGGACACCTCCTTTTTGCGTATCAATAATTTCAAGAGATTTAAAGTCACGGAGTGATTTCTCCTCCTAGTAAAGGATTATAGGAAGGATGTTAGGAATCGGCAATGGGAAAAGCGGCCTTATAATACAGTAATTGAATGAAAGTTTGTGTGGTATTACTAAGCATAACAAAAAGCAGTTGCTTATACGTGAAAATAAAAACATAAGCTATTATAATGGTCCGATTCCACACCTTTATACTACAGAATTTTACCTCACTACACGAGGCTAGCATTAATGTTTTGTCACTCACTTTGCACAAAGAGCAACTCTCACACTAATTTAGCCAAATGTCGACAAATAAACCCTTGCCAGTAGTACCTTTGCATCAATGAAATAATGATCCTTCGAACTAAGATTAGGCAAGCATCAGCCGCTAGTAAGAGAGTATTCCCTTCATGTAAAGTATAAACGCCACGGCGTAACCTGACTTATATAATCTGATTCGGTCTATGGTAAACCTTCATTGCACGCCATGCTCGCGTCGCCATCGGCATCGTTCAGCGCAAATTGTCCTTGGAGGGTCTCGACGTCAGTATCAAAAATGACCCAAAGCCTTTATAATGAGAACATTGTAAAAATTGAATCAGATTCAACCCCTAGACGTCAATCGGGTACCACGTCTACGTACACTGCTACTTTGTCTCCTCTATTTGCAATAGTACAGGTAGATTGGGACTCCGCGCAAGGAGGCCAGCGCTTTCTCAGTGTCTATGTCTCAGACAAAGTCCCGCAGCGCCTGTGTCACATCTAAAGGACCACCCTTGTTCTGCAGAAGCAATGACTTTTCCTTTTCCGCTTTGGGCCTTCACGTCTCATCAAAGGCGTTTCTTCCACATAGGCTACACCAACGCAGCGAGTAATTCCAGCTATCCTGTTTCAGTCCTCTTTCTTTGTTGCACGTAACCTCCCCCCTCCAATTATTTCCACACAAAGAGCCTTCACCGGAACTGCAACAAGCTAGCTTATTATATCTAATCATGATAACTTCAAATTTAGATTCATCTAACATTGAAGAGAAGTCTAATCACTTGCCTATTTACCGGAAACAGTCCAACAAATATGTTAAGGATTTAGGGATCGAAAAAAAACTGATAAAACAATTTCAGTGTTGGATTGAGCGAAGTAAATAATTTGCAGACCTTAGGGTATAGGCCAAGTGACTTAGAAAATAGAAGATGTATTCACCCTATTTCGTCTAAGGTGATGAAGGACTGGTAGTGGAATTTTTCAATATATACGTTTTCTTCATTGGCACTCCCACCAAAGAATATATAGTAAAGAAGCCTGACCTTCTTTGAAATTCACATTTGCCCTGTAACCCAAAAGGCGCTCGTGGCAGTATAGCCGAGTGGTTAGCGTGTCAAGCTACCATCCTGCATTGTCACGGTTCGACTCACGCTGAGGGTGTTGATAAGACCGATGCGGGGTCGAAACTGCAGTCCACCCTAGATGAGAACAACTTTTGGGAAAGCAAGGCTATGTGAAATTCAATGGA